GAAGTTAGCTTAATAAATGAACTTTTTTTGCTTAAAGTTTTGAGAGTAGCAATATAGGTGTTACTTGGTTTTATTGCAAGTTGCTATTCAAAAGCAGCAAGTAAAATAAGTTATGAGTCTATCATCTACTTCTATTTTTTTTTTTTTTCGTACTGAGCTGTAGGTTTTTGAGGGAAAGTTTAATTCAACTGCCTTAAATGAGGTAGCTTCCATAGCATCCTGTCAGCTGTCCTCTAGGTAACTTGTCTATCTTTTTAAATGCCTTCTCTGAAGTAGGGACTTAATAGGTAGGTAACAGGAATAGTTGATGTCAGTGACGAATGCATTGGTTTTATAACACTGGACGCTTAAATTTCTGCAGTTCTAAGAAAATTTGGCCAATGATATTTTACATTAGTATCTATTTTCTTTCCATTTTTAATAATATAATTAAAAGTACTTTGGTTTTCTACAGACTAAAATGGTTCTTTTGCTATGGAAAACAGTTTCAGGTGTGGTTGGCAGTTTTTTCTCTGTTTATATTTGACCGCCTTTGGTTTTTGTTTCTTCCTTGAACTCTGACAAGACTGTTAATTGTCTGTTGCAGTTTATCCTTATGTGGGCCCATGGCAGCGTATGTGAATCCTCACGGCTACATCCATGAAACCCTCACTGTATATAAAGCCTGCAACTTGAATCTCAGCGGACGACCATCGACAGAGCACAGCTGGTTTCCTGGGTAATAACAGTTAAAAAGAAATTTATTAGTAAATGAGAGAAATTTGGTTGTGAATATATGCCTGTGACGGTGGAATAGCAAATATGTAATTCTTGGAACAGACACCGTCACTTTGCTGCTATGAAAAGAAAAAAGGAAAGTAAATTTAGACTTTTTCAAAACGTAGAATAAAATGGAAAATTCAGATAGAAGGTTTTCAGAATTTCTCTGGGATTTTTCAAGTATATGGATTTTATAAGATTTTAAAATGTAGTCTAGCATCTGAGAGCTGTAAACAGGATACTGATTGTCTGGGAGTTTCTCGGTGGATAGTTCTATATAAGCCACAACTTAAAATCATAATTACTGTTTCCACGCAGCTTGCTTTGGTCATAAAGTGATTAAAGTGCAAATGGAAAACATAATATACAAATGCAGTTATTTTATCGAGATTTTTTTTTTAAGATCTAAAAACTGAATAAATGTTGCATTAATTTAAAAATCGCTAACTTTGTATTGATCTGATTACCTTTGTGGGTTTATTCATTTATTTAATTACTATTATCTAATAATAATTGTCTCTGTAACAGTAGCATAATTAACTGTCAGGATCTAAAAGGCTGCCTAACAATGAAGGGTCTTGCATCAAAATGTCACCACTCTCTGGTAGCTTAAATGTAATGTTTTTTGGCTAGACAAGCATGCTTCAGGCAGTCATTCAAAACTTTTTGAATATTTAACTCCTGAAAATAACTCAAATTTGAATATTTGAATTTTAGCGTCACAAAAGTATTCTTTATAGCTTCACAAAAATACTCTTTAAACGCATTTTTGTAGGATCACTTTTCTGTGTGGTCCTTTCTGTGCCAGTGTTAGAAATCATTCCTCTGTCTTTTTGGCTATCCTGTCCTCTTCTGAAGCAGCAGAAAATAGTATGTTGCTATGTCTGTAGCCAGCCCAAGGTTCTTGACTAATGCATGTACACATGTACTCTTCCATTTTGGTTTTTTTTTCTGGATTATCACACAGCATTGAGAAATGACTTGGAGGGTGTGCAGCATACGTGTCCTAAGTAATGCACTCTTTAAGACTCCCTGAAGAAAACTTGTGGCTTCTCGTACCTAGAGTTAATTTTTCTCATCCTTATGTGTTTTCTCAGCTCTTCTCTTCTATGAGGATTCTGAAATATTCATATTCTGCTGTTAAAGTAAAGCTCTGTTGCTCTGGAAAGTACAATTCCCTGAATCTAGGAGCAGTGCAAAAATCACTTTTATTTCCATTAAGTAACTTCCTCTCAGAGAACCATTTTCTGAGTCCTCTTTAAGGCCCACAGTATTTCACCATGCTGTTGAAATGTTGTGCTAGCAAAATGCTTTAGTTGCTTTCTCTACTTGGATGATGATTTTTGTTTATTATTTTTTAAGGTCAGTGGGGTTTTTAGGTGGAAGCTGAGCTCCTTAATTCCCAGAGATTCTTTGAAAATCTAGCTTGAGACTAGCATTCCCTTCGTGCCTGATGAGTGACCTCTGTTCCCATATTTTTAAGGTGTCTTCTGCTCACGTTAACGTCAACCTTTTGTTTCATTTTCGGTAGGTATGCCTGGACTGTAGCCCAGTGCAGAATCTGTGCAAACCATATGGGATGGAAGTTCACCGCTACCAAAAAGGATATGTCACCTCAGAAATTCTGGGGATTGACGCGGTCTGCTCTCCTGCCTCGGATTCCAGAAACGGAGGAAGACTCAGGCCACGATAGATCGCCCTTGCTCTGCCTGTAATCTAGTCGCCTGCTTTGGAGACGAACAGGCAGCAGTCTGTCTCTTCAGTGCATCTGCTCAGTTCTGCTTCTGATGCTTACTCAAAAAGCCCAAGAACCCACACCCACAAAACAACCAAGCAAGCAGGCTCACTACATTTGGGTTTGGTGTGTATCCACGTTACTGTTGTTTCGGACGAGAACTGAAGGTTGACTCTTTAGAATGACAGCCGGGGAGAGGAGGTGGCGTCAGACACCAAGAAACCGAGCTGATCCATCTGGACAGACTTGAGGCTGAACTTTCCCCTTCCTTGTATAAATACAGAAAATGTTTACTGCTATCAACTCGCAGTGGAAGAAGGTGGGGGGAGACTGAAATTACGAATTAACAGAGTATGATTTATGCAATATATGTATGATGGTAGATACCAGTTACTTGCTGGGGAGTATTTTCCGCAATAGACTTAAAAGTGGTTTTGCTGAGGATCCCTGTTTCTAACTGTGTGGAATAACTCAAAATTTTATGCTCGTGCTGTTTCTCAGATATTTGCTGAATAACCATCACAGAGAGTACGAGACTTCTGACTGCCGCTGTGTTGGTAATGTCCTGCAAGGGGCAGAGGCACGAGCTTCCCGCTACCTGCAGCTCGGCCAGCTGCGTTACGGGGTGCCCAGGGAAAGGAACCCACGTGAAGTATTCGGTCCTTAGAAGTTGTCTGATGTATTTAGGATCTTTGACTTTAGAAGTCTTAAATTTTAAACTATTTATACAAAATAGACACGGAATACATTGTCGTTTACTGTCGAATGTGCTTATATTTACTTTTCAAAATTATTTCTGTGAAGAGTAGTTTACCAGCATACATGCCCGGGGTTCTGTGAAGTACTGTCTAAAATATGTAACGACGGAGGTTTTTCAGTAGTATTTATTTTGACAAGTGGGAGGCAACATCTCTTTAATATTTTTTTGTTTTCTTTTACACTTCCATATCATGAAGTAAAATTTCACATTATCACCCTTACCTTACAAAGAGCAAAAGTTCTAAATAAAACAGAAATGAAAGGCAGTGCTTTTTTTTTTTTTTTTTATTGTCTGAAGTGCTGTCTGTGCTGCAGAAACTGGGTGCCAAAATGGGGCAGCTTTTGCCACTGATTTTTGGGGTGTTTTTCCCTCAGAATGCACTTTGGTGATGGTAATTGACAATTTCTTCAGTACTTGTACATAGACACTTTTTTTTTCTTTTGAAGCTTTATCATTCACTCTTTATTTCTTCACAGTAAACCTTTGAGAACTTGCATTGTTAAATGTAACGACACAAAACTGCTTAAGACTGAAGACATCGGCCGCTGCTTGCTCGTCCTCAGTCACGCCCCTGCATCAAACGTTTGTCCCGTGGGCAGATGGCATCCGAGAGGGGCGAAGTCAGACCTCTCTGCAGGACGAGCGGCTGATCTAAAAGGCGCTGTGCCACCTCTCAGAGTGCAGCTGAAGAGGCACCCAGGCGTGAAAAGATGCTAGGTGCTGCAGGGCTGTTAGGAGAGTTTATTATGCTAGGTATGTAGAAACTAATGATTGTGCAACTCAGGTTTAGTTCTTTGAAGCCTTCCTACCTCTGTGCTTCTGTGATAACGTTTGTGCTCTCCATAGACACCTTTAATACCGTATTTAATTTTGTGTGCAGTGCTCTGACTTGCCAGTGAACTGTGAAAAGCAATACTTCTTTGAATATAATTCTGAACAAATAGAGGGTGAATGATGGCTCATTTTCTTCAAGAAAACATTCTGTATTTTGATTATGTTTCTATAATAAGCTTTCAAAAGGCTGAAATGATAAGCACTAGCGTGAGAGGGAGACTGTGAAACCTCTGTACTTGGATAACCACTGAAATCATACTTGGCTTTCCCCTCACGCCATGCAAGTGAACATACACATTCGTGCACGCAGGCACAGACACGTAGCTGTAGGCTTGGTTTATTTTTTCCCTCCCTATCAGCTGTTCCCATTACCCTCAGTAGGGCTCGCTGGTAGCAAGAAGTTTGAGGGTGCTTCAAAGTTACCTTCTGCTGCCGTTGAATTTAAGTGTTCGCTGAGGGTACAGTGGGTGAGGTTTTCAGAATTATTTTCTCCGCTATCGCTGAACTTCATAAGGTCTTTGGGTTTCTGGCCGAGTCTTTTGGATTGCCTCAGCTAAAAATGGCATTATGTTGGCAATGTTTGAATACAAAATAGGCATATTTTTGGTATTGTGTATATATAGTCAAATGTAAGCTAATATAATCAAGTGAGATAAGCCAGGAGTAATTTTAGCACTAATTTAATTTTATTGTTGATGATGCTGTTCCATCTGCCTAACCTTCTGTGTAATGTTTGCCATTTTAAAGTCCAGGATGCTTTCCAGGTTGAAAACAAGTGTGATTTGGGGCGCCGCGAAGAAGCTGAATCCTGCCGTTATAGTGCTAGATGTGTAAGAACACTCAAAATGTACAGCATGTGACTTTCGGGGTGGCCGTGGAGCCGTGGATGGTTCTGTTGGTTAGTATTTTCTATGCTGCTTTTCTCCTTTTTGGAGAGAAAATTACTGGACTGGGATTGTGGAAAATTATTACTGACAAATGTGGACACTGTATGCTTTTGAGAGCTAAATGCAAAGGAAATCACATTTCATGATAATTTCCTGTATTTGCTACATTCGTTGGTTGGCGTTAATTAATCCCATTGACTTGCTGGCTGCTGCCCAAAGGGATCATTCTTCTCTCCTCTCCCACCATCATCTCTGTCCTTCTCGGTGAGCTCTCGGGATTAGGCTGCCGCAGGGCTGGTGTCCTGGCTGCGTAGCCACGTCCCTGTCGGGGCTGGCGGAGGGACGAACGGGCGTCTTGTAGGGATGGAAGAGGGACTGCCCTGCGCAGCAGCAGGTCTCGGCTGGGTTGGGGTAGGCGTAGCATAGAACCCCTTGTTTCCAGGCTGTCGCCGCAATAGCATAAAGACGTCACACAATCGGAGCCTGTAATATTGCCAGTTTTCGTACAATTTAGTTCCGTTTTGGTGAATAGGTAGAATCGCATAGGACACTTGGCACAGTTGGTCTAAAACATGTTCAAGTACTCCACCGCTTGTTTTTTAACACTGCTGGGTTTTTGTATGTGCCGCGACTCGTTTTGTTCCTCTCACTGTTTTTTTCACCTTTGTTCAATTGCTTTGTAAAAGCCGCGGAAAGGGCAGCACGTTCTCGCTTTAACTCTTCCTCTGTCTGCCTTTTGAGACAACTTTTCAGAAAAATCTTGTTGCTTGCAAGCATTTGCAAAGAATAAAATTCAATTTGTTTCAAACCCGATCTTTTTCTGCTGATTGTTGGGAAGAACGAAGACATTTGGGTTTACGTTGTGTTTTAAGCCGGTTAGCTTCAAAAAGTAACGCGTTCGGTAAAGAGAGTTTTGGCTTCAAAGAATGTGTGGGCTCTATGGGCAAAGGACAAGGAAGGTAGGAAATACCGTGGAGAGCATGGGGGTTGTCATTCCTGTGAATAATCAAAATGAAACTTTAAGTCCTTCATCTCAAAGTTCTCTCTATCATCTGTGTGCTTACTTGCTTTAATCCACCTGAGTAATTCTTAGCTCCAGCCCCAAATTGTTTCCCTCCATATTAACCCCCCAAGGTCTAAGAGTCCTGATCATTTTTCCAGCATCCCCTTTATCTCCAGTTTCTCCCACAAAGAGAAATCAGTAGATAAATACGTGAGGGGGGGTTAGGTGGTGGAATGTGGAGAAGATGCAGCTGCAGACGCTTTGAGGAGAGCTCAGTGGCGGCTTTGCGGATGGGCCCAGCAGAAGCACCCCGAGGGAGGAAGAGGGGGGCGTGCGCAGTGAGGCCGAGGGTGCTGGGGCGAGCCCGGCAGTGAGGGGAGCTGGGAGGGGCTGCTGGAAAGAATTTTAAGCTGCATAAACTTCTGCTGGAACCTAGGCTTTCCCCAAGCCTGTTACTTGGGTTACACCCCCTCCTAAGCTCTGTACTGAGGACAGTGTAACTGGGAAAGACGGGAAGTTCAGATTCACAGGTTACAGCCGCGGCGCTGGCAGCTCTCGCAGGTCTGACCTCTTGAGTTTCAACCAGCAGCACCAGAAATGCGTCCCGGTAATCTGGTTTATTCATCAGTTCTGTTAGGAGAATGTTCCCTGGACTGGGTTACCAAGGAATCCGCAAGATACAGTTTTAGCTTAACTCACAGTGCCAGAATCTACTTTGCTCTTAGAAGGCTTAAATTCTGTGTATGCAATGGGCTTGAGCCTGCTGCGGGGCTCAAAACACAACACACAACTTCATTTTTTTCCCCTCTATGACAGTTTTCAAAATGTCCTTGCTACGTCATGGCTGAGACCCTGTCGCCTCTCCTGTCCTTCGGAGGGCAGCCCCAGTGTGCGCAGAAGCAGCGTTCTGAGAAGGGATGGAGGTCCTAGAATCATAGAATCATAGAATGTTTTGGGTTGGAAGGGACCCCTAGAGGTCGCACGCGTCTGTCCCAAACGTGGCGGTTACCTAGGCCAGCGCAGGAGTCTGCCTGCCTGCTGTCGAGCGGTTTGTAGTTGATGTGCTGAACAATTTAATTTTTTGAGTAAACTCCCTGTTTTTCTTGTTATTTTCAAGGCAGACACACATGAGATGGCCTAGCCAGTGCTTTGGCCTTTCTTTGGGCCAGAGGAAGCCTCGCAGGGATTTCCCAGGTACCAGTCTCATCTGCAGATGCTGTTTTCCACGCAGGCTGCGCTGCTGATGCAGGAATTCTTATTTTTTTTTTTTTCCCCTAGTGCAAGATTTTTTTGTTCTCACTGAAGCGCTGCAGCATGCCATGGGCTTTCCCTTCCCTCTGTATTTTAAGACCTTTGTGCCTTCTGAGAGCTGGGATCGCTGTGTGATGATGTTACAACTATTTGGCTAGCGCTAATTCAGGATGGTTGCCACACAAAAGCCCTGCAGGGGTTTTTGTTTGTGCTTTTTTTCCCCCCCAAGCATTATACAAAATCAAGAGGACTTTGTGACAGTGGCACGGAGTTTACGATGGGCATCACCACGTCGCTGCTCTGCAAAGCCGTAGGCACGTGGCTGTGGGGAAGCAGCGGAGAAGGACAGCGTCCCAGCCTCCTGTTCCGTTCCGTACAGCTTTGTCTGGAGGTACGATGGCTACGGGAGGCTGCAGGAGGGGGAGTTTAGTGAGCCACAGGTAGTGGAGCGTGCTGAATTGAATTTCAGCCGCTTAAAGAGCTATTGTCTTACCACGTTATAAAGAAATTATCTAAAATGTCAAAGCTTTAAATCCTTGTCCTCTTGCTCAGCCCGCTAATGGACGCTGTTAAGGCTCGCCACCACTAACGCTCTGCCAAGGTAACGTAAGCCTTACTGTCCCACTGGAACTGGAAGCAGCTTTTTTAAGGGAGCAAAAGGCATTCTTGTACCACGGCCAGTCACGCTGTGTGCTGTCCTGCAGGATTTCTCGAGTTATTGGCGCGTATGGGACAGGTCACCCACCTGAACAGAAGCCCTGGTAGAGCACTGGGTACCTGAAGCCGTTGTCCCCGACTGTTTTGAAGCCACAGAGAAATTACAGAGGCTCTGAAATGGAAGCACGTTACATGGCTTCCTTGTGCTGCATGCTCTCCTGGAGAAGGTAAATATAATTTTTAGTGGTCAAACTTCCTCTGTGTCTGAGTATCGTGGCCCCGGTCTCCATACAGACATGGTTTGTGGTTGTTGCTCTGTATACATTTTTCCCTACCCACTAACACCCCCGGTTCCTCGTGTAGAGGAGCAGAAGGTGGTGGTGGTGGTGGGGTTATTGCCATCAAAACCTGCTTGAACCCTAATCCCTTGAGGGTCCCCTTGAAGTTAATGAGCCCTTTATGGCTGTACCATATGGGGAAGTAAAATAAGGGTAATAATCCTGCTTTTCTGTTCAGCCAGATGAATTCCCCTGTACAACTCGTATTTATTGTGGCGGCTATAGCCAGCGGAGGCATTGCCCCCCCCAAAGCTGACCTGGGACAGGTCTGGGGTGAGGCATAAACCTCACAGGCTGGCATGACCCAGAAATGTTTGTTTGGGAAGTAAAGAACAGCGCCCGCGGGTGCTGGTGATGTTTCTGGGTGTGAACCTGCTCTGCTGTGCCACTGGGCGCTTTGGGACCGCGGTGCAATGCCCGGCCAGCCCCCTGTGTGCTGGTGGCATGGCCAGGGCTACCATCCCTTCGGGCACCTCCAGGACCCTGGGAGCAGGGAAAGGGAGGCAAAGAAAAATGGAACAATTTTGTGGCTCGCAGCCATCCATGGGGGAGCCTAAGGGTGGCACAATGTTTTCCTGACCTTTTCCAGGTGCTGTTCATTAAGCTGTCCCAGAGCAGCCTGGCTGGAGGCAAACTGAGCAGGCATGACTGAGGGTCCTGCAGGAGATCATGGCTTTGCTGCTCGGCCAGACCCGCAGCCCAAGTGCTGAGGTGGTTCAAGTGGCAGGTGAGAGTGAGTTAGTTATTTTATTTTATTTTCATTGACCAAAGGACAAGCCAAGGGTAAACAGAAAGGAGGGCAAAGCAGAGCAAGCAGGCCAGCACCAGTACCAGGGAGTGGTGGGGGGGGGGGAAGGCTGCCCCCACCCCAGGAACGGGCAGGGAGCACCCTGTGAAACTGCGTGTGTACACCCCCCCTATAGATCAATCCATACATCTGTGTACAGATACACCCCCCCCTCTGTACTCTGTCCCCCCCAAGGGCAAGGGGTGTAGGGGAACCCTTGGTCTTTGCCTCTTTTTCCAGCAAACCTGAAGAGCAATGGGCTCAACACCAAGTAGGGCTTCACGCTGGCAAGTCGGGCACAGCCACCGACCAGCAAAGCCACACAGGCTTTTCTGATGCATAACTTTTAATTAAAACACATTGCTAATACCATTTAATTAGTCAGGTGATCCATTGCAGAAGAGTACTTTACCTGACCGTGCATGTGTCAAACTGCTTCACTGCTTATCTCCCAGTTTGATATTTAAATAGTTCATACCCCAGTGTTAAGTCAAACACATCATTTCTTCCAGAACTCAAGCTGGTACTACTTGCTTAAAATAAGCGATTGGCTTGATTTAATGCGGTTTAATGCCTTTGAAATACAGCAAACAGAGACGTTCACTGGACCAACCAGGAACCTCAGGCCTAACAGCATTTTTCAATGAGCGATTTGAGCAAATGTGCTAACTCTGCTGAGTTCAAGGTGGGGCTGTTTGTTTAATTAAGATGCTTTCAGAATAATTTGATTGTGCTGTTTCTCACAAGCCTTGGCGACTGTAAAGGGTTCAAGCTCGGGTCCTTGAGGTTTGACCCTGACCCCAGTTTTGGGTAACATGAAGTGCAGCTGCTAATACTTTACCACCTCCCCAGAAGTTGCCTTAAAAGGTGCAGTTTTGTGAAGCATTCTTTACAAGAGCCTACCCCAGTACTAAATTTTATACTTGTCTCCCTCCACAGATTTCAGTAGTTCAACAAATTGCACAAGAAGGCTTCAAGTTAATTACATCATTAAATCAACCATCATGTTCTTATGAGATTTGCCTTATTAACAGAGAAAAACAGCTTTTTTTTTTTTTTTTTTTTTTTTGTTCCCTTGCTTTCTTCCTGACACTCCTAAGTACCTTTGGAATAATTTAACATAACTGCCTTCCTAGCAAAAAAAAAAAAAAAAAAAGCCACTGCAAAGTTAACCATATGAAAGCCTCAAAGGCCGGGGTTTGTGGCATCGCTCTGGTGTCACTGCCCCCTAGTGCTGCAAAATGACAGCTGAGGAAAATGAAATCCAAACACTTCTATTGGTTACCATGTGTTTGCAGGATAACTTAAACCTGCAGTAGAATTTATATACCTTAGCAATGCTCTCGGCTACAGCAGGGTTTTTTTTTTCTGTTTGTTTCAAAGCAGCCAGGGATGGCGACGCGTGTTTGTTAAGACCAGCCAGGAGCAGCGCTGCGCCAAAACCCCACCATCTGCCCCAGCCGTACCTGGTGGCGCCCGCTCCAAGTGAGTACGGACTCTCCACTGACGCCGCAGCAAAGTCTTGGGGGTACCCCAGGCAAACAACTCCCGCCTCATCTAGCTTTCCTTCCCCCATCAGTTTTAACTCACTCCTCCTGTTTTCCAAAATGTTACTGATGACACATTTCTTTATGAATGTTGTAAGGGCCAAATTATGTAGAGTTTCCCTTTGAGCTGAATCCAGAGTGCATTTCTGATGTGGATCTGTTCAGATAGATAGAAGAAACGCAAGGATAATTAACACAGAAGCAACACAGGGAAGATCCTGGTGGGATAGCAGCAGGGACTGTTAAAGACTTCTTCCCCAAAAAAATCCTACAGTTAAACAGAATGCCTGTAAATCAGCGAGGAGGCGAAGGGCCCTGGGTCTCACTGCTGCAAGTTACAGGAAAAGACATGGGAGAAAGAGAGAAGGCAGAGAGGGTGAGCACCCTGCAGGCGACGGGCGCGGGACTCGGCTGGGGGTGGCTCTGCGCAGGCACACACACACCGTCACCTGAATCCTGCTTGTACCTCACTGGGAAAGAAAAAAGCAAGCAAGCAGACAGGGCGGGGGAAAAGGCAGGGAACCTGCATCTCCCTTCCCTCCTGCCATTAAGAGTAGATCTCACGAACACAGTCAAAAACACGCTGTAGAACCCTTTGCCAGTTTTCCATGGATTTACTCACCGAGTGATAAATTCGTTACTGAAAACCTACTGACGAGACAAGAAGTTCACGATACTGACTCAGCTAAGTCATCCTTTTAATCTAAAAATTGCTTCTGGCCTCATGGAAAATAAAAACCTTTTAAGAAAGCAAACAAACAGCCCTGCTTCACATGGTAAGCCTGTTTGGGAACTGCTGGAGCGAGTGTTTCAATCTGATATCTAGCTTTCGCTACAAAAAAAATTTAGAGCTCATTATTTCTAGGCACTTTGTTACTCTCCTAGGCACAACCCCCACCCATGATTTTACCTAGAGGGTAGAAACACCTATTTTGGTCTGGTTTTGTTGGTTTTGTTTTTTTTTTTAAGATGCAGCAAAGTCAAAATGAGAAAAATGTTGGTGTCACCTCTAAATGCCCCCGAGTCAAGATCAAGTAGGTAAAGATTTATCATTAAAATAGAAAAATAGAGGTAGAATTTGGCAAATAACATTTTGCACTACTACAAAATTCAACCTCTCCTTGCAAAAATTACGTGTCAGTAACAGGAGAACAGTGCTGTCTGAAGATCTTAAACATGACAAACTCTGTATTGGCTGCGACAACACTGACAGAGGATTTACTGGTATCTCCATTACACTCAGAACAGGGCACAACCCGGCCTCTACTATTATTCAATTTTACAACTTCTTCAGGCAACTTAACAGTTCTTCTTTATCCATGTGGTAGCCACTCTTCTTCCATTCATCCCGTAACTGCTGTAACGCTGCTCCAATTTCTTTTCCAGACGACACACCCATTTTTCTTAAATCATGGCCACTAACAGGGAAAGAAGGAACAGTCCATTCCTGCAATTCTCTTAAAAGATGTTCTTCTCCTTGGTATTTTAGCAGCTCACAGATCTTGGAATTTGTATTAGCTTCCCTAGACTAAAAGAAAAAAAAAAAAAAAAAAAAAAAGGATTCACTACAAAACAGCAGAAAAAGCTCAAACTGTGCTTAACACTCTGTTATTCCCATGACATCTTATTAGGCACCATCTGGACGAGTTGGAACTATGAAAGTGAGGATCTATTCTGCCTCACAAGTTTTAAAATTCAGTCCTAACTTGGAGGGTCTGGGAGATCCCTGGAGACTTCTTGCAGTCCAGGTAATAGCTGGAGCCATCATCTTCAACCTCCAACTGGAGAGGAACTACTACCTTTGCTGTGGGAGACAGGCCTCGCTGCAGAGACCGCCGTCTCTCACCTTCACTCTCAGGTTCTGCAATAAAAGTGCAGAATTTCACCTGAAAATTACTTGAACTTTGCTGTGGAAGAATGTCACAGGTTGCCTACAAAGAACACACAGCGATGCTCCAGGAACTGCACTGGCTTTCAGTACACAACTCAAGGAGTTGAATTTCACATAAAAAAGCCATAGTCTCTTGAGGTCCAGACCCTGCCTCATATTTTAATGCAGAAGGGGAGATCAGCTGGGACAGCACAGCAAACCGCCAGTCCCTAGGTATGTTCACAGGAAGCTTCTGTTTCAGATGACTGAATATGACATTTTTTAGCCCGACTGAAAGGTAGGCTTTTAGATCCAGTCAAAAAGTTGCTACAGAACACCAGGTGCTTGGAGCTGCTAAAAACATGGTGTTTGTTTGCTTGAAATAACCTCTAAAAAATTAATTTAAAGCCTCAGTATTTTGGATGGGAAAGAAAACCGCTTTTGAACTTGAGTAGAAATGTCTGCTATTTATCGTCTTGCAAAACTGAACTCTGGTATAAAAAGATTCTTTTCCTTTAGTAGAGTTTCTGCTTTACATTGCAGAGACATGCTGGGACATTTGCAATAGCTCTTCTGATTCCCTCTCCAGAGGAAAAACAAATGGGAAAACCAACCAAACACCACCTTAGTTAACTAGAACTGGTATCAGTAACAGAGACAGACAGTCTTCCCGTTACTGAGACAATACTACACTGGGAGCAATCCGAATTTGGCTAACACTTTTTGCCAGTACATCCCAGCTTTCTCATGAAAATACCATGGTCTTTAAAACGCTGGCAAAAATTTGCCTATGACCAATAAATGAGCCTGCCGATGAAACGACTCTTGCTTGACTCTTTAGGGCCCTTTCTTTCTGCTAGGCATCGCCATCTCTGCTACGCTGTAAAACTGGAAATTCAGTTTCCTATGAAGAACAAAATAAAGCAATACAAAACACACTTACATCCATTATGAAGTCCTGATATGGTCTAAGTGGTTCTGGACCCATCGCTTTGGTTAACTCTTGCCGATGCTTCACTAAAAAAAGGCCAAGGTTTTTCTCTTCTTTTGAGATTTTCAGTCTCAGATCAAGGTTTGTGACATCGTCCTTCACCTTGAACAAGGATGTCAGAACAGTCATCGGTTTTGGACACAGATTGTGAATATTTTTAGTGACTCTGGCAAACTCCTCTAAATTTCCATCAAGTGGTAGTCCTAAAGGGACGCACACAAAAAAAAATGCAAGAAAGTGTTAGTAAGAATTGGGGATGTTAACACGGGGTGGTGGTGGGGGGGGGGAATCTAATTTATTTCTGGATAAAACCAAGTTTTATCTCACTTTATGCTGCAGTTGTTTGGATATGATATAGGAATCTTCATTTCACCTTACCTATGTATTGGGCAATATCCAGCTCATACATAAGTAGAACCAAATGATTTACATGGTTTCCAAGAAGAATTTTTTTGAGTTCCACCCAAATCCTTTCTCCTGATATTCCAGCCAAACCTTTGGCATTTTCTTTAATCGCTTCCAGTGTACTAGGTTCATGATCATCAGGTTTCTCTGCGATTCTTCCATAAAACCTGCCCAAATGAAACCTCTATATGTTACACTGAGAACAATTATTCCATTTAGAATCAGAATCATTTGGGTTGGCAAAGCCCTTTCAGCTCCCCCAGCCCAACCGTTCCCCTACCCCTGCCATCCCACCCCCAAACCCTGGCCCTCAGCACCGCCTCTGCCCGGCTGTTAAATCCCCCCAGGGCTGGGGACTCGACCCCTTCCCTGGGCAGCCCCTTCCCGTGCCTGACAGCCCTTTCAGGGAAGAAATTTTTCCACAATGTCCAACCTCACCCTGCCCTGGCACAACTTGAGGCCATTTCCTCTTGTCCTTATTACTTGGGAGAAGAATTTATTACTGCTATTCAGAGAATGAATGTCACAAGCGTGTTAAATATTCTAACTTAAATTACTAGAGAAATACTTAACAATATGACAGTTACAACTCTTTTTACATCAGTGATCTTTTTTTGCACATTTCTGAAACTTTCTGCAATGCTTACTTCATTTCTTTATCTAGGAAAGGCAAAACCTAGTACCTGAAATATCTTAGGATTCGTAAATAATCTTCTTGTATTCTCTCACTTGCCTTTCCCACAAATCTGATTTTTTTGTTTTTCAAGTCTTCATATCCATTAAAGAAATCATACAGCATCCCATCCAAACCTAGAAAAAGAAGGGGGAAAAAAAAAAAAAAAAGAAAAATATGAATTTACAGACATGGCACAATTAAACACCCTCATCTGAAAACACAGAAGAGAAGTTGTGTGATTTGACCTGGTTTGTCAGATCATCTCACGTATCTGTATAGACCTTTCAGGTGGCAGCAGTGCAAACAAACAAAATTGAAACTGACTGAGGGCATTTACTGGCTTAATTTGAAAAGCAGTCTTTCATCCAAATATTTGCTTTTGAAGGGATTTACCTAAAAACATGGAATTGACAGTCAGATCCCTCCTTTCCGCATCCTTTTCCCAGTCAGTGGTGAATTCAACCTCTGCATGTCGTCCATCGGTGACAACATCTATTCTAAGAGTAGTAATTTCAAAATTCTGTTCATGGAGCTGAAAATCCCACAGACATTGTTACTTTGACACAATCACAAATGTAAACGTAAAAGCTGTACATTTTTTCAGCCTCATGTTTGTATACAGTTGGCACACACACGCAAACCGACTAGCATGTCTGCATACAGAGTGGGCAATCAAGAAGTACGAGCACCTGAAAATAATCCTTACATCATTCATTTTCTAGACAGCCTGCAGAAATCTTCCTGCAGAATATAGAATAGGAGGCAGAGGAACGAGCAAGGTAGAGGAAGCAAGGCTTGGGAAATCAGGAGCAGGAAGCACTAGGATCAACTTCCTCACATTATCTGAACATGTGAGCAGCCTACATTATCTTTCCTAGGGAAGACACAGCAGCATGAGCGGGCTATGCAGAGGTAACATACATTAAAAAATGGCAATCGATTGAATCCTACAAACAAAGAGTAACCAAAAAAATCTCTCCATACTTTAAAGCAAGGTCTCATTTAAGCTCTGACTGTGATACTTTAACAAAGAAGGCGCGTGCTACCAGTTTTCTGTTGGATATGCTGCACATCCACAGATAGTTAGAACAGATCCAAGTCAAAATATAAACCAACCCTGGCAGTAATGGTTCCGTGTTTTTCTCCTTTGTTATTGATCAGACGAACACCAGCAGATGTGAACATTTCCTTCATCTCTGCTGGTGTAGCGGTAGTGGCGAAATCTACATCTTGTGGGGTCATTCCACTGAGTAAATCCCTCACAGCACCTCCTGCTATTCTCAGCTCATAGTTCTTCTTCTCAAACAGTTCTGGGAAGGAAAGGAATATCGTAAGGCACTCTCTCAAATAAAAACCATAGCACACTGTCAGCCATAACCCACCCTTTCACAAATCAAGATCATAGCTGTGGGAATACACACTCAAAGATGCAGTAAGCCGCAGGTATGTACGTACCTCGCAGCTCCATGCAACATGCATAAATTAGGTGCACGGCTGAGCACCCCCAGGTTATTTTCCCCATCATTTCTGATGTATTTTCCAGGGCATTTCTGACAACCTGGATATTAACAGGTAGCTAATTGATACCGGGGGACTGGGCTGCAGGACATTTCAAGCAGTTAGTAGCCGACAAGGGAAAAACTGCTCAGCTTACTCGTGGGAGAGCACAGCCAACCGGGAATCCACACTTCCTCAGGAACCACCACCCCACCACACCTGATGGTGATCCGCCACCTCCTTCCAGTCGTTTTAAAGTTACGGTGACGGGAGCAGGAGGGCAGCACCCAGCACCCCCACACACACACCGCCCCCAGGCCCCCACAGCCCCCCGGGCTG